GTGCCAGCACTGAAGAGGAAGGGTTGGGAGGAGAGGAGGGCGCTGCAGAAGAAGCAAAAGGTGGTGGAGGAAGAGGGGAGTGGGGTGCCTGAGTTCGTACCTCAGCCTCCTCTTGTTGAGCTGGATCCCAAGCTCAGACAGTTGGAGGAGGGGGCTGAGGTACGGGCTCCTGGTAAGGGGAAGGGCCCTATTTCCCTTGCGGTGCCTCAGAGCAGCCTGTTCGAGGCAAAGAACATGATGGGGGCTAGGTGGTTCATCAACAGCACCTTCCCCGAGGTGGACAAGCGCCATGCGCAAGAGGAAGCTCTGAGGTACGGGGGAGCATCTGTTGTGAAGCACGTCCTTGAGGTATGTTAAATTAGTGCCGTTGTTTATTTATTCTGTTTGTTCTCCTGTTCTTTCTCTTTGAATTTCTGCTTTGATTTGCAGAGCGCGCGAGCTAGGTGAATGGTCTAGCCCAGGAGTTCAGGGATGGTGTCAAGGAGCGTACACTCTTGCAGAGGCAGTGTGACCAGCTGCAGAAGGAGAAGGAAGAACTGGAGAAGAAAAACAAAGATCTGCAAGAGTCGCTGGACGAGGTGGTTCCAACTGTGAAGCAGTTGGAGCAGGAGAGGTCGTCCTTGGGCACCAAGCTCGGCTTTGAAGAGACGAAGCGAAAGATCTCTGAAAGCGAGCGTGAGGCTCTGGCACAAGAATTAAAGCTGACAAAGGAGGCCTTCTTGGAGCTGAAGGGGAATGTGCAGACCTTGGTGCACAATGGGATGAAGGAGCACATCAGCAACTTCATCAGCTCCAGCTCGTTTGACAACATCGTCAACCTATACCGGCTGCCTACTGCCATCATCGCATTTACGGACTGCAAGAAGAAGGTGAAGGCAGAATATCCCAAAGTGGATATTACGAAGATCACCTTTGGAGAGCAAGAAGAAGGAGTGGAGGAAGATGGGGAGAGCATGTCAGCAGACTTCCGTCCTCAAATTAAATTGAGGTGGGAGGATGATGCAAACGGACGTGCTGTTTTCCCTCCACAGTTCGACTTCGAGTTCGTGGCAGTGGAGGAAGAAGGGGCAGAGGTAGAAGTGGACGATGTGAAGGCAAGAGTGGAGGGAGCTGAAGTGGATGAGAATCAACCAATTCCAGAAGTGGAGATTCATTCAATTCCCTCTGACGATGAATAGCCTCTTCTGCCAGACGAGCAGCAGTCAGCACAGCCACCTCTTCCAGCTGAAGAAGAGCCAATGGAGCCACCTCTTCCAGCAGAGAATTAATTTTGTTTGTTTTTTGATTTTTTGTAAAGACATGTGATCAGTTTGTAGTATTTACATTTTCTTAATGAAAGTTCTTTTTTGAAATAATGTGTTTACTTGCATTCATCTTTTTGTTATTATAAATTGATAGGAGAACTGAGACTACCTTTAAGAAGGAAAGTTTATAAAAACAAGTTAACCACTTCGGAAACAAACTCCAGGGAAGTAAACCACTTCAAGTGAATTAATAACAAGTATATCACTGTAAATGAATTGAGGGGAGATAAAGCACTTCAAATGTGAAGTGACATTTATTAACAGACGTATGAGATAAAGAACGAATGGATTAATTGACCTCGGATACATAGAATAAGAGGTAAAATGAATTTCTATAGACATGAAGTGAGAAACGTAAAGAACAGTAAGACATAGATCACTTGAAAGAATTTTATTAGGGGTAAAATTTCTTCAAGTTATTCACATTCCAGACTCTAGGAACTCTCTTTCCTTCAGCATCTTGGAGGATATAGGCACCAGGATGTGGTACCTCGGCCACAGTGTAAGGGCCTTCCCAATTTGGGGCAAGTTTGCCAAAACGAGTTTCAAACCCCGTTAGGTCAGCTTTTCTGAGAACAAGGTCTCTTGCTTTGAATGTTCGAGGGCGGACCCGTTTATTGTAGAAGTTGGCTAGTTTCTGCTTGTATACAAGAGTTCGAAGTCGAGCTTCTTCTCTGACTTCAGCAAGCAGATCAAGGTTTTCCCGAAGCAGTTGTCCATTTCGTGCTTCATCGAAATGGGTGACCCGGAAGCTTGGGACTCCTAACTCAACAGGAATGACTGCTTCGGTACCAAAGGCCAGGTGGTAGGGTGTTTCACCTATTTCAGTTAATTATAACTTTAGAATGCGCTTTATGCATTATGCATATTTGCTCTAAGGTCAAGTATGGCAGAAGAAGT